TTTAGACGACATGGTAGAAAAACATATAGTTTTTTTCTCAAAAGTTAAACGTGAAAATTATTCAACTTTCTCAGGTATCAATTTTCTTAGTGACATCACGATTAGGCGAATGATTTTCCCATTCCTTTGAGGATGTGAACAAGTATTTATATCATAAAATGGACTATGTTTCGAAGTGTATTTTCCTAAATTTAAATTCTCTCTGTCAGAGAAAGGTATGTAGAAAATTCGACATTTTATGAGAAAGAGTCCCACCTCGCTCCCTCTAATCGAAAACCTTGGAGTAGACTTCTTTCGAAGTAAGATAGTTGTTGATTTATCAAAAATGAGTACTTACGAAAAACAAAAAAGGTAATTTTACGTAAGCAGTTTTCAAGGTAGCTTATCATCTACAAGGTAATATATGAATGAAGATCTTCACCGCTTTCAGTTTCGAATTACAATAATGAAAATACGAAAATTTTCCGTTTAAATGAACTTTTTCTTTTTTACTCTTTTTAAAGATTATTTTACTACTTCCGAGCAAAAACTAAAGAAAAACTCCTAAACGTACAAAATGTTAGCCTTAATTTCTAACTTTCGACTTATTGACAATAGTTTATTATCGTTCAAAACTAAACAAAAATCTTATCTAAACACTTTTCAATCACTCATTATTTTATTTACCATTTTAGCTTCATCTTTTTCACATTGACCACATTTAATCATCTTATTTGTTGTTGTTGTTGTCGCTGTTGGTTTAACAGTAAATAAATTAGCTACAAGAGATGGTCGAACAACTGTAGCTAGAAAATAATTAAGTTAATATGATTATATTTAATAGAAAATCAAATTATACCTGGTGGTTCATCGCCTAAAACTCGAATTCTTGTTGGTTTATTAGCCTAAAATTATTTTATATTATGACTTAGAAAAACAAAAAAGAAGTTTTTTTTTGTTTTGTTAATTTACATCGAATACTCGTTTTGGTTCATCACGTAAAACATGACTTGCATATTGTGATAATGGTCCTGTTTTACCTTTATCCCAAATAGAAACATTTGCTTCAGTACTATTGAATAAATATATATGAAAAAAATTTTTCTATTTAACAAATAAATATATATACGTGGATTTTGTTTTATCAGGATGCATAGCTAATTTTAGTTTATTTAAACTTTCTTCTAGTGCTCTTGTTTGTCTTTCAAGTATATCACTACTTGGTGCTCTAAAAAAAATATTGTAAATCAAAGAAATAAATCTAATAGAATAAATTACTGAGATTTCCATTTATTAGTCATGGGTGTTTTTAATGGTAAATGTCCGGTACTTCGAAGATTCGACATGATTGTTGTATACAAATGATAAAACGTTTATGTCAACTTACCATAACTGTTCCTTATCGTTTTGTATTGCTGTCTAGCAGCTGCCTCCTCTCTAAAAACATATTACAATTAGAGATAGATGTCATCGTTCTCTAGTACAATCTGAATAATAAGCTCGTTTATTTGATCATGTATGTATCTACTATTGTCAAATCTATGTCATATTTATGATCATGAAAATTATTTTCTAGAAATAAATTATTCGACTTGTTAGATTTTGGTATAATTTCAATGTAGCAAAATTATGAACTATAAGGATGACTGTCTTTTTAAAAAAAAAACTTCATAAGATGTCTCATGCAGGTAGCTTTCCAATGAATGAAATTTACAATTGTCTGTTTCAAACATGTATTGATTTGGCTGAAAGGAAAAAATGTTACAGATGTCATTAATGATATAGGATGTTCAAGAACTGAGAAATAGAAATTCTTCTCAGTTTGTGCACAGTTTAATAATTGCTAAAATAAAATAAAAAATACCAAATGACGATCATTTTTCCTCTCACATTTATATTTAGCCAAGAGTTTTTATTTCACAGTTTTGACACATGGCTGACGGGATTGTTCCTAATGAGTAGTGTGTGAGTTTAAAATGCGGATCTGAATCTTCAATCACAACGACATCCTTTTCTAGTTGCTGTACTTATACATCTCCTACCTTTTTTTGCACATTTAATAAAATATCTTAATCGTACTGGCCGAAATTCTCAAAATAAACTTTCTTCAATCTTTATGTTTTAACCGTTTTTTTATTTTTATCTCGAATAAGTCGAAGTCATTCGATCTCATTTCTTTGGTTGTTTTAATTTATTCGTAAGATATCAATATCGGAAAAAAATGAATATGTATGAGAGTAGAAGTTACAGCTTGTCGAGTCCAAAACTTTCGGATCTACACCCGATCGGATTCAATATCGAGACTAAAACGATGGGCTTCAATAGAAGTGTGAAATATAGTATGTGTTCTTTTGTTGAGAAATCTAAATAGACTTTATTTCTCTTAAGATTCTCTACAACTTATCAATATATATTAAGACCTTTTAACAACTTTTCCTTTATTTGTTATATATGAGTCCATTCATAGTACAGTAAAATCTCTTTATTGTAAGCACCATCGACACTATGAAAGTCTCCCAGAATATCTATCTTTACAGTAGTCCTGGTTATCAATGTTCTTGCTCATGTATTTTTATTGAAACTTTTTGAATTGAAAGATGTATTTTAACTACAAAACAATATTTTGTTTCTTTTTGCTTTTGAAACATACAGAAAATCTAATCCTTCAGGCATAAATGACAATTTCCGGAAGAGTCTTTTATGCAATGTAGTCAAAAATTGTTTTTTTTTTCTATCATAGATCACATCGAATTATTTAGGAAATAATACATTTTTCAGTTTCAAATTGTTATTTTTGCAGAATATATAATCAATTTAATTCATATATCTCATACATATTAATATTTTATTATGAAAATCTTCAAGAAAATAATATTTTGTTCCAAATTTCTATTGAAAAATAGAAAAAGAAAACTATCGTCTTACTATGTCGAAGTTTTGTCTACGCATGAGTAAATCAAGGTAACCAGATGATAATCAACTTTATACAATATTCACAGCATGTTCATTAAATAAACGTACTTTTCGAAGGTCATTAAATTTTGAATTCACTGAACTAATGTTATTGAAGGAAAAAGTGAAATCCGATTTATTTTGATTAAATGATTCTTATCGCATTATAAGAATTTTCTAGTAAAGTAAACATAGTTTCGAATACGTTAGTATGGTGGAACACATCAAACAGATATTTTCATAGGTTTTAATTAATTCATAGCAGATTACAAGTGTTTTCACTACGTAATATACATTACTAATGTTACTGTCGAACGAAACATAATCAAGATGATTTATAGAATAAATTTTATTTTTTATACATCTTGAAAACTTTTGATCTTCTCAGTATAATTTTGCATGGTTCATTTTTCAATCATGTTCGTTGTTCAATTAAGAAGAAGCTTATAAATTCGAAGAGTCTTCTTACAATGACTCATTCAATGCTCTTCTGATAATACTTCAATCTGTTCATTGCAAATAGAAACTCAAGTTTTACATTAAATCTGAAATTATTGATTTTGATCAAGTATGCGTTCATCTGCAGCATAGATGAAAACATTAATGGAACTTTAGTATAGAAGCGAAAAAGATATATATTTATATGAAATAATGCATAACCGTGAAACCACAAATAATCGTGCACTGACTCATAACTCATTAATCATCTACAAATACTAAACTATGGCTAATAATAATAGATCAAAATAATCTGATAACGCACATTAATTATAATTTCTGTTGAGTGCAGTACTCACAAGGATACAAATACAACTATCGGTTGTCATTCGGCTTTGCATTAAGACTACGAATAAGTGTCAATGAAAACTAGAAAAAAAAAGTTTCAAAGGATTTGAATTCATAAGATACTAGTAAAAAGTTATGATTGTTTTAATGAAGTTTTTACTAAGAGTGAATCATTTCTGAAAAATTTCGAGCTAAAATTATTTCTATAGGTTAATTTGATAGTCATTAGAGTTTCAACGAAAATAAATATATGTTTTTCTTGAGATATTCAATTTTCAAATAGGTTAGATCAATGTGTATGTTTTTAAATATTGAAAACCTTGAAAAAGATATGTTCGTTTTCTTTGAAGCCTTTGGATTTCTCTAATCACTATCAAATGGATGTATTGGAATAATACACAGCTCGAAATTATTTGTTTTGAATTTTTTGACTATGTCATGTTTTAAGTAAAAATTTTATTGAAACCACCATCACTCTTGAACAGTAAATCATGAAACCAAATCCTTTCAAGATTTTCTCGTAGCCATAATGAAGAAAAATCGATCAATGTCAGATGTATTGTAGAGTTAAAATTTATATTGTAATTTTTCTTTTTTTTTCATTAATAAATTTTTTACTATTATCACTAACACTAACATTCTCTATTCCAATCTTTACTTTATCAATAGTTATTCGAGAATGACTATAGGGAGTCAATAGTTAAATTCAATAAAGCCATCTCTCTTAACTTTATTAGCAAAACGAAATTCACTTTTAACAAGCCCACACAACAGTAGTGATCGTCAACGGATTCCATAAAGTGCATTTAAGTAACAGCTCATTTTACGCATTTATATCATGAGCCAGAAAAATTGCGTTTTTTTTATTATATTTATATCGAACTTGATCAAACCGTAACATGCCATTTAATAGAAGTTTTATATACATTTTTACATCACATGAGAGTATTTCGTAATTTGTTAATTATTGCATAGTTATTAATTTCACTGAAATAAATAAATAAATATGGATTTTCTTTAATTTATTTCTTAAAATATGAGAAGAAACTATTGAAAGCTCTGTTATTATTATAGAAAAATATTTTATGTTAATGAGAGAAAAAAGAAAATGTCTAAACATATACAATGGTTATTATCCTTATCACAGATTTCTAACTGCTTTGATGGAAAGAAGAAAAAATAAATAAATAAATAAAACAAATTAAAAAGGAAAAAAAAAAGAAATTTATTATTATTATTTGATTGTCTTGTTCAAGTCGAATGACCTTCAAAGGTTTTTTTTTTCAGATATGTTTTTGATCTTTTGCATTTTCGTCAGCTACATAAGAACCATTGTAAAGTGCATATGGTGGTGGAATATATTCTTCTGAATTACCAGTTGGATAATCATTATCATGCTGGATTTGTTCAGCTTCTACTTGTTTTTCATCGACATTACCATCAACATATCCTTCTTCACTCATTGGTTGCCATCCAGCATTATTCCAATATTGATCATAAACTTGTTGCACAAGATGTTGATTACGTTGATAATAATAATAATAAAAAGCTGTGCAAGTACAGCAAAGTAATGTACCAACAAGTAATACAATTAATACGAATACTATAATAACATAAATTGCTGTACCACTACCCCATAAATCTAATGCTGCAAAAATAGAAACTGCAGATCTACGACATTCAATAGTTCCTAGTTGACACCAGCATCGTGCACTATTTTTTGTACTTTTGACGATTGTACCTATATAGTAGATATATATATATATAAATTAATAATTATTATTAAATCAAATTTAAAACTAACCATGTGGAAATGTGATACCATTATATTCGCATGAAGTTGAGTTTTCTTCATATGAACATTGTGCACAACATTGTCCTGGTCTAGCACTTGGTACAGAATTATCAATACAATATGTATTCATACAACGAAGTGTAGTGCAAAGAACAGCACGTGTTGATGTACATTGACACAATGCACAAGCTGTGTACATGAATGTATGACCAAGTGGTAAATATGTGCCATTAAGAAGATGACACCAATGAGCACGTTCAAGAGATGTTGGACTGCTGGTAGTCTCTTCAGTACTAGGAGTAGTTGTTTCTAATTCGAATGTAGTTGTAGAAGAACTTGATGTAGATGTATCGTCTGTCGTTGATGCTATAGTGCTGTGAGGTGTTGTAGTAGTCTGGCAGAAGTTTATGTATGCAGCTAATGGATTATTTCTGCATAACCATTCATAAACATCGTTAGTGTCGATTTCTTCATAACTACCCTCGTTGTGCGTATGGTGGTGTCTTCTACCGGCAACATCAAGTATTAGTGCCGTAAACACTACTATAAATATTGCTTTCGATAACCAAATCATATTATTTGTTTGCAATAGACAGGCAAATACGTTTGTGTTCGTTTGTTGTATTTAATATGATAATACACGTATACAAAATAAACACCTCTCGTTGTCGTGTAGGTTTCTCAGTTTCTCTCCTACTGAGTGTAGTAGTGCGCGTCCATCATTGGTTTTTTTTTTCGTTACTGCTGTTTCTCTCTCTCTATATATATTATTAAGCATAATTAAAATATTTTATTTTTCCTTTTACCTATCATTATGCATCCAATCGGTCTGTACGGACGATCATGACTACACTTTAAGGTATTTTTTTTCCCTTTCACTGACACATGTAAGGAAAAAAATGGTTTTTTTTTTATATGAATATGACTTTCAGCTCTTATTCTTGCCGTTTTTTTCGTCCCATAGTCACGCTTGAATGCTCTAGGTATACATGCATTTATCTACGCGACTATACACACATATATATATATAAATAATTACTTTTGTGTTACTGTGAGATTTTTTTATGAGTAAACACAAGACAAATAGTATGATTGATATAAAATAAAAATATGAAAGACGAAAAAAAATCATGTTTATTTAAACGAGTTTCCAATTGTATAAGTGAGAACAAAAAACAAAGAAGAAAGAAAAAGCCATATTAGAGTAATAAACAGAATCACCGGGGTGTCTTTAATATATTAATTGACCATTAATTTTCATATAATAAATCATAATGACCAGGTCGATAAAGCATTGTAATCATTGGTTTGAATGTTTCTTTTATTTCTTCATCTGTAGCTGTAAAATCATGTATAGTTAATAATGATTGTTGACTTCTATCCATATAAATAACACGTAATGGTACAGCAGCTGCTTTAGTTAATGCTATTATATGTATATTATCAGATTCACGTGCCATTGGTTCAACTTCCTTTATAAATACAAAAAAAAATCATATTTGATAAATATTTAAAAAAAAAAAAAAACATACAGTACTACAAAATTGTTTAATACTTTTTCCATCTTCAATAAAATTTTCAAAAAATTCACGATTCATTTGAAGATGACCTGATGTAAATAATCTATATGTTTAGAAAGAATTTCTTTTAAAAAATTGTACTCATAAATTCAAGTAATAAATTACCGTAAATAAGCAACAAAATAATCTGAATATGGTATTGAACAAAAATTTTCTATTAAACTTTGTTCAGTTCCTTCTTTAGATATATTATCAATAACTTCAAGTACAACATCTCTTACATCTTCAAGAGTAAAATCTAAATAACCTAATTTAACAAGTTGATCTTTAAGAGCATATGTTAATTGACGAAAACGTTCGAGTTCATTTTTATTATTTAAATTTTTTTCAAGATAACCAAATGCAAATGCACGATAAAAACAATTTCCATCACCGCGTGTACGTCGAATATATTTATATTTTTTTATTAATTCCTTTTGTAAAATAGAACAAAAATTATAAAGATTTATACTTAATTTCGTCTTTTTTTTTTTTAATCTTACTTACTGCTACTTTATCTTGATAAATTTTATCATCTAATGCATATTCATTTTGTAAATGAGTTGTTGGAATTTTATCACTTACTAATGGTTGATGTTCAGCTATCTTAAAAAAAATAATGAAAAGTTTTTATCGAAAAAAAAATGATGATTAATTTAAATACTTCTTTTTCTATTTCATTTTGTAGTTGTTGAGTTTGTTGATCCATATCCATATCTAAATAGATAGTTTTATTTTTTAAATAATTTGACTTGCTTATGAATTAACTAACCATGCGATATATAATTATAATCAGTGGCATCTATATTATCAATAGCTGAAACACCGGTTTTCTCATTTTCAGTTGCCATTAATAATCGATTAAATTTAGAAATTAAATTTATGAATCAATTTCCGAGATGAGGAAATGATAAAAGAGGAGAAAAACTACATGAATTCATTTATTTGTTTATTGTAGCCAATAGATATCAGGTAGAGATTAGATGTCGCTGAAGAAAAAAAACACTACTATATTTTTAATAAAAAGTATGTGAAGCCGAATATTTAGAGTACTAATCATATAAACAAAAAAAATCTACTTTGATTTTTTTATTTATCTACAAAATGAATTGACTGGCCAATACACTGTAATTTGACCGTATCTAGTAGTGTCCTGCGGGAACAACTTTTCCCTAAATTTTCCCATTCCCATGGGAATGGGAATTCCCATTTAGACTTAGGGAATGGGAACGGAGTTAAAAACTGATGTTCCCAAAATTCCTTCTATCTTATTTTAATACACATAAAAGTATTTCTATGTAATAGCTGTTTATTTTCAATAACTATTCTTATTCGTGTACAATTAACAGAAAAATAACAAATGTGTATCAACAAGAAATAGACAAGTTGACTTATTCTTAACTAAATCGTAATTCAATCATCACAAGTATTATTTCTTTTCCATCATCATCTTCATATACTTTCAAATGAGCGTCCATCAACTGCACGGTACTAGACACATGCTTCTGTAATACGTTTTTGAACTAATAGACATTCTTTCAACGATGAAGGTTGTGTACAATAAGACGATATTGTTCTTTCTTGGAACGGAGTCGCTGGCACAGGTTTATTTTGTAAACAATTGTGAAGCGAGTCATCATTCTGGTTCTGTGATCTCTTGCCCATTTCAATACTGATTTACATTATAAACATATAATGTAATTTTGTGGGTTATTTTCATGATAAATCTGAGAATAATTTGTCCAATATTCGCTTCTTTTATTTGTTGATTTTGTAAATGAAATTGATGGATCATTTTTCATGTTATTAAACCCTGAAGTTCAGCTTTCGATAATGCTGATTTCTCGGAATTTGTTAAAGACATTTCATTTATTTAAAATAAACAAAAGTGAGCAGAACTAATTTTTTATATTTGTAAAAAGACAAGTCTCAGTAGGATGTTTAGCAAAATGTTCCTTCAATTATAATTGTGCTTTTAATTTATTTAATAACACGTTGCGATGCGCAAAACGTGATGTCGCGAGAAGCTGGATGACAATGACACTTTTTCTCATATATTGATAGAGCTTTAGAAAGCCTTATGGGAATGGGAACAAAATTTTTTTTTCGGGAATGGGAATAGGGAATGGGAATCAAGAAAAGTTGTTCCCGCAGGACTCTAGTATCTAGTCATCCAAAAGATATTGGTATAAGAATGTGGCTAGCATCCCATCAGCAATATGTATACAAAGAGAATTAAGAGGTGCAAAATTTTGCTTATAGAAGAATAACGAATGATCACATAAGGATTAAAAAAAATCAATAAATTAGTGCATTGTTAATCTGCATTTAATTCTAGTTCAGAAAATTCAAAAGTTGAGAGCGATTGGCAATCTTTGATATTGACTGTTATACAATTTTTGGGTCTACTATGCTTAGAGTGAGGGAACTAACGAAAAACAAACAAGAAGAATAGCGTCTTTTCTACCTAATTAAATGGTAATGCATTGACCAAGAGATCATAATTAGAAAAAACTCGGTAATAAAATTTGTTTATGTTTACAAAGCTCGCGAGTAGAAAAAGTTAGCATACAGGAAAAACTGTATCAGAATTCTTAAGATACTGTCTACTGATTCGCAATGTAGAGGAACAATGTACGAATAAACCGATCAGGAAGTTGGAATAAACGAAAGTAGTGGACTCATCAATTCGATAGAGAAGAACTTGCTCTACAAAATACATTAGTTAGTTTTCTCCGCATCTTTAATTTTGAAATGAACGATTGTCAAAACTATTTTAGGTGACAATTTTTTATCAAACTCTGGCGAATATATCGTCGTAGACTGTTCCTCTACATTGCGAATCAATGGACAGTGTAAAAGTACAAGAAAATTTTTAGACTCTTACGAATTCTGATGCAGTTTTTCGTGAAGAATTTAAATATGTAATTGATTTTAAAATCCGAACAGATAATCATGGACTGTGACCGTTTTTTCGATAAAAATATGACTTGAATTAGCTGAAAATACGTAGATATGGGTGTAGGTGTTACCGTTGATAATCTCTTCATCTACACCCATACCCGTACAGCAAAGATATATTCAAACAACAAGCACTGTTATTATCAAGGTCGAAAATATCAGATAAATACTATTTTCTTTAATTAGTCTGCTTCACTGCTCGTCACTCGAAGACTTTTGAAAAAATTTATTTTGTCTAATTTTCTGTATGTTATAGACGACAAATACTGGACATAACAACTACCAGATGAATAGATGTAAGTAACTGTGAATTTAATGACTGTAACTGAGAAATTCAACTGCTTTTCATCGTGATTCTTTTGCTTTATTCTTTGTCAATGTTAAATAAGGTTGATCGATTTATTCCTTTTTATTATTGATTTGAAGGACTGAGAATGTCTACTGCTGGAATTTGTTTAGAGCGAGGAGAATTAAGATTTATCCATGCTATATAGCCAAACACACAGAGAACTAGCAAGAGAAAGCTCATAAATAAGACTGTATGAACAAAATAACTTAGGTAAGGTCCGTAAGCAGTTGGAACTGTTGTACAAATATGTGTTACTGAGATAACAATGTGAATTTGATTGAATATTGAAAAGAGAAATGTAATTAATATTGACCAAAAGCATTGTTGATCCATACTCATTCATTGATACCGAAGCTAAACTGATCCTGTAACGGCTATGAATTGAAGAAGAATTTTTGTGGTACTTCTACTTCAGCCTCTATTGTGAATCTGCTTCTTTCAACCAA